CTCAAAATGAATGTAAACAGCAATTGTTTTTGTTTTGGCCAGAAACCCTGAGAGTCTTTCCCTCCCAGATCTTTTTTTTTTTTTTGGTGCAGCAATTGGGATTAAGTGACTTGCCCGGAGTCATATAGTTAGTGAGTGTTATGTGTCTGAGTCGGGATTTGAGCTTAGGTCCTCCTATCTCCAAGACCTGTGCTCTATCTACTGCGCCACCTAGCTGCCCTCTGGATCTATTTTTTTTTTTTAAAGAGGCCATTCTTTGCCTCATTTCTTATTAAGCTTTAATCATTGAATGAGCTTTGCCTCAGTCAAACTGAGACCTGTTGAAGATCTTGTTTGAAAAGGCCAGGGTTCCCCAGTGCATCCTGGAACATCTCCAGTCATCCTGATACATATCTAACTACTGGATTCACATGGCTCTGGAGGAGAAAGTGAGGCTGGTGACGTTGCACAGTCCTCCCTCACTTAAATCTAATTCATTTGCATGGCACGGCATCACCTCCCTGTTGTCATGGTCCTCTTTGAGAAGGACGTACAAACAGCAGTAGTGTTAAGCTAGAAGTCAATGGATTATTTGTCTATATCTGGAATTGCGTTCTATGCACATAGTCTCAAAATGTTTTTCGTGATATCATGCTTCAGAGCCTTAAACTCTAATTTGTGAGTAAGATAATGGGTCTCATGGTCAGTGATTTTCCCTGGATAAAAATTATAGTAAGTTCCCGGTAGCCATCACTTTTCTGTTATGAAATTTCCCCGTTGGAAGTGCTGTGGTGTTATTGAAAGAAAGATGGATTTGCAATTGGAGTTGTTGTTATTCAGTCATGTTCGACTCTTTGTGACCCCATGGATTTGTCCAAAGGGTTTTCTTGGCAAAGCTACTGGAGCGGTTTGCCATTTCCTTCTCTAGCTCATTTTTTAGATGAGGGAATTGGAAATTCCTTGGAGCACCTGCTGAAATTGGTAGATTTTTCCTGGATAGATGAAAGTATTCTTCTCCTTATCTTTTTCTGCTAAGGGAGCCTAATAATACTTCCTAAGAACCATGAATTGCTCAACAGCACCATTAGCATAACTTGGTTTACTGAAAAAAGGCTTGTGCTTTTTGACATTTTTGACTTTGATACTGACATAGCACTTTATCCCTTCTAAGGCTTATTTCCCTTATCTTTGAAATGGAGACAATAATATGTGGAATACCCAGCCTACAAGATAGATAAGTTGTGATGAAAATGTTTTGCAAACTTTAAAGTGCCAGAGAAACATAAGATATTATAGTAATTTCAAGGCAAGATCTCATTGGAGTTTTCCTTTTTTTTTTTCCCTTCTGTATTTTGACTAGATTGCCCAGGCCAGAGGTGTCAAACACCCTTTGTGGGCACCACATGTGGCCCTCTACGCTCCCAAGTGTGGTCCAACCAGATCAAAATGTCATTGAGAAGTAATTAAAAAATAAAAATAAAATGTGAAAATATTAATATGTGGTTTTCCAAGTTGACATGTGACCTATAGGGATTCTTGTGTATGGTTTAGTGGCTGCCATTTCTACCTGAGTTTGACACCATTGATGTAGGGCATTCCAGGCACTTAAAGGCAAAGAGTCAGGAGAAGGAATGTCAGATGGCACAGTGGATAGAACACTGGGTCTGGAGTCAGGAAGATCTGAGTTAAGATCTAGCTTCAAACACTCACAAGCTGTAAGGCTCTGATCAAGTCACTTACCTCTGTTTACCTCAATTTCCTCACCCATAAAATGGGAATAATAATAGCACCTTCCTCCCAGGGTTGTTGTGAAGATCAAATGAGATAATATATGTAAAGTGCTTAGCGTAGTGCATGGCACACAGTAGGTGATATATAAATGTCAGCTGTTATATATGGGGAACAGTGAGGAGGACAGTTTACTGGGAGCAGAAGGTGTGTGAAGTGTATCAAAAGAGGTAAGTATGAGTCAAATTACAAATGACTTCAAATGCTAAAGGCATGGGCTAGGATTTTATATTTTATGTAGAGATGATAGGGAGTCATTGAAGGTATTTGAATATGGGAGTGATAGTGAAATGGTCATATCTGTGCTTTAGGAATATTGATTGGGCAACTGTGTGGAAAATGGATTGGAGAGGCAAGAAACTAGAAAAGTGGAGAACATTTAGGAGGCCATTATGCTAGTCCAAGCAAGAGATCATGAGGACCCAAACTAGGGTTTTGGAGAGAAGTGAATGGATGCCAATATGTTGTGGATGTAGAATCGGCAAAACTCAGTAATTGATTGGATATGGGAGATGAAGAAAAGGGTGAGAATCAAGGATGACTCCAAGGTTGCAAACCTTGGTGATGGAAAGATGGTGGTGTCCTCAATAGAAATAGGCAAGATTGGATGAGGTATGATAGGTTTCTCAGGAAATATGAACTCCATCTTGGACACGTTGAATTTGAGATGCTTATGGGACATGCAGGTGGATATTTCCATTGGGCCATTAGAGAAAAAGGACTAGAGTTTTGGTAGGCTGAAGACTATTCTGTGGTTCAGTGGTCACCTTCAAAGATAGGGATAAGCACTGGACGTGTTGTTTCATTGATACAAGGAGCTCTTGGGTGAGGAAATTCTCTCTACTAATGCACACCAGCCCTTTCATGGTCATTTATAGTCTTTGAGAGTGTTGTAGAACATTGAGAGGTTGACGGACTTGCCCATGGTCACATAGCCAATATGGGTCAGAGGCAAGATGTGAATCCAAATCTTTCTACTTCCTGTGCTTTCTATCAGCTATATCATGCTTCATTCAAAGTTTCAGGGGAAAAAAGAGCACAATCATTACAAACACTCTTGCTCATATTACTCATAGATTTCATGTTGGAAGCCTTATAGTCAAAGTTCAGAAACAGAGCTTTGCGCAATGGGGCAAATGTGGACTTCATCCAGTGGCACCAACTAGAATTGAATGGCCTGATCCCTGGATCTGGAGTCTAAAGAAGTGGGTTCAAGACCTCACTCTGCCAGTCAATAGATTTGTGACCATAGGCAAATCACTTAACTTCTCAAGGGCTTGGTTTATCTCAGCTGTAAAACATGGAGGATTGAACCAGATAAGGTCAAAGGTCCCTTCCACCTCTAATGTTCTACGATTGGGCTTCTGCTGTTTATTCCACTTCTCTTCCCCCCCCCCCCCAAATATCTTCCCCACTAAAATCTGAACAACTATGATATAGTTTTGTATTGCATTTATACGACATATGGTATTAGAAGTTTTTTTTCCCTTTTGGTACTTTGTCTTAGATCCTTGTCTCTAAGAACCTGCTTATACTTGAGGAATAGGGAAGGGAGATTGGGCTTTTCTTCTTGTTTTTTTTTTTTTCCAGTAAGTTTTTATTGATATCCTCTGTTTCTTACATCATTATAGTAATCCTCAGTATCCTTTACCCTTCCCCTCCCTGATGGCCATCCCATAAAACAAATAGTAATTTTTTAAGGAGGAAAACCCCCTAGCGTAACTGATTGATATGTTTAAAAAGCCTGAAAATACCTGCAATATGTAACACCTGGGGACCTCCCACCTCTGTGAAAGGGTGGGTTTGGGGTGTCTTCTCATATTTCCTCACTGGAGTCCTGCTTATAATTTTGTTACATTCACTTTTGATTTTTTGCTGTGTTGTTGCTCTTTATATGCACATGGTTTTAGCCACTATATTTTGTTTTCTTGATTGAGCTTACTTTACTCTGCATCAGTTCATCTAGAGCTTCATCATGTATGCAATTTGTTACAGCACAGTAATATTCCATTACATTCATGTACCAGATTTTGTTTAGTCATCCCTCAATCAACAAGCATCAACTCTGTTTCCAATTCTTTGCTATCCCAGAAAGTACTGTTATAAGTATTTTTGGGTTTCATGGGGACTTTCTTTTATTGGTAGCTTCCTTACAGTGTAAGTCCAGTAATGGAGTCTCTGGTTGATCGGATATGGACAGTAGATTGGGTTTTGATAATGAAGTTTTGTGTTGTGTTTTGTGTGTGTGTGTGTGTGTGTGTTTGTGCTGATCATTTTTGGGACTTCTCTTCCTCCTTCTCTCCCCTTCTGTCCCTCCCTTTTTCTTCTCTGTATCTTCTTTCCTTCCTTCCCTCCCTCCTTTCTTCTTTCTTTCTTTCTTTCTTTCTTTCTTTCTTTCTTTCTTTCTTTCTTTCTTTCTTTCTT